ACAACAACAACAACAACAACAACAACAACAACAACAACAACAACAACAACAACCCAAAACAACAAACAAATAAACCCATAACCAACGACCAAACTTTCCCCTCCGTCTATGGGTCCCTCATATCTACCTCCAAGCCAACTCGTTCGCAATCTGACAGGTGTGGGACGCTCGGCCAAACACCTGAGAAATGACCACATCACACCCGACTGTGTCCACTGTTAGCCCAGAGATTACCTGGAGCCGAGTAGCCATTATTGCCATGGAAGGACTTAACACTGCCAATTTGTCCCCCCTGTGTGCTCAGAGAGTATCCCCGACGGGTAGACATCTATACGTAACTACCTGGGACATCATCCAAAGACCTTGTGGACAATACAAGGAGAGGGGGACGTCACTGCTATACACACAACAGCTCAGGACAGACAAGGCTCGCTGGACCCATACCTACAGGGAACAAGCAACTAAACAGGAATTGGTCCGTTTCAGGGAACCACAATGGAATTATCTGACAACTCCCCGGGGATCTAAATTGCTGGGCAGGTTGTGGGAAATTGTGCTTGGGGTGGTATTCTAGGAAGAATTTTGATTCTGGCGTGGGCTCATGTGGGCATCACATGATTTTGGTAAACTTCATTTGCTGCATGCTGGGTGGTTTATGGGTAACTGGTATATTGACATTTGATGATAGTTTACGTCCTGCCTCGTTTGGGGTTCCCAAAGCCCCAAGATCTCGGCGTTCATACCCAATTAATTTTAAATACATTCATTGACTGAGTCTGGGGACATATTCACAGCGTGCCATGGGTTTCCTTCTTAGTTGCAAATCATGTTGTAAACAGTGGACCAACACGTCACAAGCAAATATTAAGTAGTAAAATCATTTGCAAGTAACCTATACCATCTCGCATTTAACGCTGCAATATCAGTTCGCAGTCTACTTGTGGTACAGCACGGGTTCGAGATTTGTTCAGATTAGAGTTTCTGATATGTCTTGTAGACACATAATGTGTCAGCATGGTCACATCAACAATCCGTATTGCACAAGAGGATAATAGTCTGCATCTCTCTCTCTCTCTCTCTCTCTCTCTCTCTCTCTCTCTCTCTCTCTCTCCACCACACACACACACACACACACACACACACACACACACACACACACACACACACACATACAGTCACTTTCAGCCCCTCGTCCTCCGCAAAGCCAAAAGCACAGTACGTTAATGGCGTGAAAAATATTTAAATCCATTTGACACCCTCGTGCCTTGCATAATGTATTTCAAATACAAACGCATCGTTAGTCGGAGAGGCGGCGTATGGGGACACTTCAGGCTTGTCAGATTTCAAAGAAGGTGGCTTTTTCCCGGACCGAGGAACGCTAAGCCAAGCAAGTGTTGAGAGAGCTTTAAAAAGGAGGATTTATTATTATTTCAGGGGCGTCAAAAAATATAATTTAACAGTGCTTGCGTTCGGGGACGAAGGAAACGAAACAAGAAATCTCTGTCCTGTCGTTTCAGTGTGGTCTTGTCGATGTTTGGTGTAGATCTACGTAGAAATCTGAAGTTAAGGTGAAATATATTTCGAATTGTCGGTGTTTTGAGACAACAAGTTGCTTTGTTTTATATTGTTTTATAAACGAAAAGCCGGAGGTAGCCAGAATAGACGACATAAGCTTAGGCTAAACAACACAAACAAAAACTAACTTATTACATTCAAGCATCATCATTTATAATTATATTATTTTCTATTTTTTTGCTCTTCTTCTTCTTCTTCTATCCCGTGTTTGGGGCAACCGTTGGGGCACCACTGCATTGGAAAACCAGCTCTCGCCATCTATTTTTGTCCTCTGCTCTCCTCAGATTGTCA